TGGAAAATCAGGCGTGTGGAAAGTGAAGAGTGTGGAAAATGAGGAGTGTAAAAAATGAGGAGTATGAAAAATGACGAGTCTGGAAAATAAGGAGTGTAGAAAATGAGGGGTATGGAAAACGAGTAGTATGGAAAATGGGGAGTATGAAAATGGTCAGTATGGAAAGTGAGGAGTAAGGAAAATGAGGAGTATGGAAAATGAGGAGTATGGAAAATGAGGAGTGTGGAAAGTAAGGAGTGTGAAAAGTGGGGACTGTGGAAAATAAGGAATATAGAAAATGAGAGGTGTGCAAAAAATGAGGAGTGTGGAAAACGAGGAGTGTGGAAAATGAGGAGTGTGGAAAGTGAGGAGTGTGGAAAATGCCGAATGAGAAAAATAAGGAGTGTGGATAATGAGGAGTATGGGAAATGAGGAGTATGGAACATGAGGAGTGTGAAAAATGAGCAGTGTGGAAAATGAAGAGTATGGAAAATGAGGAGTATGGAAAATGAGGAGTATGGAAAATGAGGAGTGTCAAAATGAGGAGCATGGAAAGTGAGGAGTATGGAAAATGAGGAGTATGGAAAATGAGGAGTATGGAAAATGAGGAGTGTGGAAAATGAGGAGTGTGGAAAGTAACGAGTGTGAAAAGTGAGGAGTGTGGAAAATAAGGAATATGGAAAATGAGGAGTGTGGAAAATGACGAGTATGGAAAATGAGGAGTATTGAAAATAAGGAGTGTGAAAAGTGAGGAGTGTGGAAAGTAACGAGTGTGAAAAGTGAGGAGTGTGGAAAATAAGGAATATGGAAAATGAGGAGTGTGGAAAATGACGAGTATGGAAACTGAGGAGTGTGAAAAATAAGGAGTGTGGAAAGTGAGGAGTAGGGAAAATAACGAGTATGGAAAATGAGGAGTGTGGAAAATGAAAAGTTTGGAAAATGAGAAGTATGGAAAATAATGAGTATGGAAAGTGAAGACTGTGAAAAATAAGGAGTGTGGAAAACGAGGAGTATAAAAAGTAAGGAGTGTGGAAAATGAGGAGTGTGGAAAATAAGGAGTGTGGAAAATGAGGAGTGTCGAAAATAAGGAATGTGGAAATAAGGAGTGTGGAAAATGAGGAGTGTGGAAAATCAGGAGTGCGGAAAGTGAGGAGTATGGATAATGAGGAGTATGGAAACTGAGGAGTGTGGAAAATAAGGAGTCTGGATAATGAGGAGTGTAGAAAGTGAGGCAGGTAAAAAATAAGGAGGGTGGAAAATTAGGAATGTGAAATATGAGGAGTGTGGAAAATGAGGAGTGTGGAAAGTGAGGTGTATGGAAAATGAGGAGTATGGAAAGTGAGGAGTATAGGAAATGAGGAGTATGGAAAATGAGGAGTTAGAAAAATGAGGAGTATGGAAAATGAGCAGTGTGGAAAGTGAGGTGTATGGAAAATAAGGAGTGTGGAAAATGAGGAGTATGGAAAATGAAGAGTATGGAAAATGAGGAGTGTGGAAAGTGAGGAGTATGGAAAATGAGGACTGTAGAAAATGAGGAGCGTGGAAAGTGAAGAGTGTGGAAAATAAGGAGTGTAAAAAATGAGGAGTATGGAAAATGAGGAGTGTGGAAAATAAGGAGTGTGGAAAATGAGGAGTATGGAAAACGAGTAGTATGGAAAATGAGGAGTGTGAAAATGAGGAGTATGGAAAGTGAGGAGTATGGAAAATAAGGAGTATCGAAAATGAGAAGTATGGAAAATGAGCAGTGTGGAGAGTGAGTTGTATGGAAAATGAGGAGTGTGGCAAATGAGGAGTATAGAAAATAAGGAGTGTGGAAAATAAGGAGTGTGGAAAATGAGGAGTATGGAAAATGAGGAGTGTGGAAAATGAGGAGTATGGAACATGAGGAGGGTAAAAAATGAGGAGTGTGGAAAATAGGGAGTGTGGAAAATGAGGAGTGTGGAAAATGAGGAGTATGGAAAATGAGGAGTATGGAAAATGAGGAGTGTGAAAATGAGGAGCATGGAAAGTGAAGAGTATGGAAAATGAGGAGTGAGGAAAATGAGGAGTGTGGAAAGTAAGGAGTTTGAAAAGTGAGGAGTGTGGAAAATAAGGAATATGGAAAATGAGGAGTGTGGAAAATGACAAGTATGGAAAATAAGGAGTATGGAAAATGAGGAGTGTGAAAAATAAGGAGTGTTGAAAGTGAAGAGTAGGGAAAATAACGAGTATGGAAAATGAGGAGTGTGGAAAATGAAAAGTATAGAAAATCAGGAGTGTGGAAAATGATGAGTATAGGAAATAATGAGTTTGGAAAGTGAAGACTGTGGAAAATAAGGAGT